CCGTCACTGAGCCGCAGCCGCTGTCGCGTCACATTGCAGCGCGGCTGTGCCGCCCCGACAGTCCGTAATGATGAGGACTGTAAGCATGTGAATAAGTGGCACGCTCCGCGACCGCGCGCTCAATGTTCTCGTGTTGCGCGCACATTCTTATGTTGTGCCCTCGCCATAGCAGTGATGAGCAATAATGTTTTTTTAGGCCAATTCGTTGACGTTGGAGCGTAAGCCGGAGGAACCACCTCCAAAGAGAGCGCGGGTCCTCCCAGCGCCAGCGCAACCATCAACAGCGGCAGATTCACCTAGGGCACCTCCACCTCAACACAGAAATACTGCTAGGTAAACTCATAAATGCTGTTTTGTCCTTGGCCAGAAATGACGTTACGCAGTGTTTGCCTACTTTCATTTTTTTAGGATCAGCTCCGAGGATTCGTATACAGAAGAGAAAATGAAACAAATTAGGCTATTTTTATTACAGGTGGGGATCATGTTTATAAGAACGAGCTTTGAGCTCTATGACAAATCCCTTATTCATATATTTGAAGCGTTTCATTTAGGCAGATTACCGAGCGTCAGCTATGGAAATGTTGAATCACGCCACTGGACGAGCGCGATCTCCATGGACTCAGAATGTTACTGATGGGGTAATGCGGATATCTATAGCGAATGTTCTTGTTCTGGAACAAAAGTAGGCTTCTATTCTCCTATTATCATTATGACATGCTTGGGAGTTGCTGGCCATGTGTAGTGGATTCAGTCGTGAATTTGAAAGTTAGCTAAAGATTGAAAGTGCCTTCAATAAGGAGCTGAAGTTAAAAGTGCCTTCAATAAGTCTCTTCTTAAGAATTTATTCCGAGCATTTGGACGAGCATGCGAATAAGCGAGGTGAAGAGACTGTGCTAGGTGAGCGAGAGACCAGAGACGAAGTGTAAGAGAGTAAAAAATGAGCGAGGTATCAGACATCAAAACATTGGCCAACGGTGTTCATATCTAGTTGGAACCAGTGCTGTTCGGTAGGAACGCAAAGGCGAATGAGACGGCCTCGGCGCTTACGTCCCTCACGTTTCAGGCGCTAAAGTAGCACATTTTCTGCGGCTGCGGATAGGGTCACCACTTTTTACTAGGAAGGTCTCTAGCCGTTAACTAATCGCAACGTTTTTCTTAAAGACAGTTCCTGCGTTCAAGTGTTAAGGGAGGCGGGTATTAACTGTGAACCAGTAGCCGATAAGTGGTCCCTCAGTAGAGAAGGAAGCGAAAATAGCTCGAGCACACCCTAAACGAAACCCCTCCCTGAAGTCACACAGCCTTACGCGAGCTCTCCGGACTTGCTGGCAACTCGACAACTTGCGGCCTCTGTGCTGGTTCTGGCTCACAGATCGTTTTTCGGCATCTTCCAGTACTTAGAATTGTTAGTGCACTGTTACGATTGTGAGTGCGATCCAGTACTGGAATAAAAAAGGAAAAACAAAAACAGTGGAACAAAATGAGCTCTTGAAAACTCTGTGCATAAAAATAGGATTACGGTAGTGCACGACGAGTTTCGCATGGCCGAACGCATCTTGTCCTGTGATGTGGACTGCTACTGAACTATTGTTTCCAAAAAGCTATCCAAGGAAAGGAGAACAACTAGTGAACTAGCATAAGAGTCGACAACCTGAGATTTTTCCCGGCGATTATTAATCGTCCTACGATGCTGCAGACAACGAACTGCATATGCATGGTTCACCATGTAAGTCGATGTTTTGCAGAGTGAAAAGAACAAAGCCCACAAGAGTCACACGTCTGTAGCCGCTTTATCTTGCTCTTTCGGGCCGCTTTATCTTGCTCTTTCGGGTGACGAAAGTGGTACACTCTGTGCAATTGCGGAATCTAGATGCCAAGTGCACGGACGCATTACGCAGGTCTCTTGGTCGCGGGAACTGCCTTTAAGACAGCTCAGAGATTGCTGGTAGCTGATAGTCTTTTCAGTTGTGAATTCATGTGGGTAGTTACCCATCATCAGTGCGAATTGGTTGGAAATACCCTCACTAAGGCTCTTCTTTTTACCTTTATTTTGAGTATTGGACGAGCATGCGAACATGCGAAAGGCGCAGAGACCGTGTCAGCGCAAGCGAAAGACCATAGACGAAGTACAAAGATTATAAATATTTTCTTGATATTCTCTATTCAGATTCACGCAGCCGAACGTCAATTCCACGGAAGGAGCCGTGAATGCTATAGTGGAGACGTTTTTGCACGGAGGCAATGTGTCAATAAAGGTGCGATTATTTTAAAATAAACTTTTTTTCGGTAATGAACTGTTCATTTTGAATGGGAGTCAATCAGCTCGCAAAGCCCAGCAGTTGTGATCAGGCCAGCGTCTTTGAACGGCACCAATTTCTTGCTAGTTTCATTTCTCCCCTAAGTAACGTCCTGTGACTCCCCTATCCCCCCCCCCTTACTCTACCTTTTCGCGCACGATAGGTGACTTTCCTTCGCTGGAGTCCTCTACGCGCTTGAAATGCCCATAACCATGATAAACACATCTTCCATTTTTGGGTTTTTTGATGGTCCGGTCAGCGCCCCTGGCTTTCGTTGCTGACCAGTTGCCAGTGCTATGAAAGCATGACTACTATTTTTTCAGTTTTTTTTCTCTAAATCATTCTTTTTTGGAAGATCAAGAAGTTGACAACGCAGCTGCCAGCAGATGTGCAGGCAGCTGTCTTTCACACGTCTGCGCTCTAGCCTTTGAGGGAGGACGGTGAGAAAGTGAGCGTAATCTTGTGGAATGGTAAATGCTATCGTAAGCCCACTGTTTCGGTCTTGTCGATCGCTTTCCACCTTGTCTGACATTGGCAGCTGCGTTATTGCTGTTATCATTGCTGGCTTATAGCCTGTAATCGTGCTGCTGGGAATTCTGCGATTTCAGAATAAACAACTGCATTTCAATGGGTCTGGTCCACAAGATTTATATTACAACTTCCTTAAGAGATGTTTAAAGAAAGCAGAAAAGTTGGCAAGCGGGGCAAAGACATTCAAAGGTGAGCGGAGAACACTGATCTCACGGAGAACACTGATTCACCAATTTTCACTACTTTTGTGAAATTTGAATCTTGCTAAGGATTCCCAAGTGAGTGATTTACTTGAAATGCATTCTCGACTAATTTCAGCACTCTTAGCGGCGTTAGAGAAGGTCAACTTGGAAGTATCACAGCACTCTACCCATCTTCAGGTACGTTTAGGCATTTGCCGATGTACATGCGGCAAAAATTCCTGGCGGTGGTCTAAAATAGGTAGGCATTTCGGTGCTAAAGTTTGTCGAATTACGGAAATTTCAGTCTTGGAGAAGCTTTTCGAAGCCATGAAATGCGGGTCCGTCAGAACACAATTTCCTCGATTTCTAGATGAAATTCATCGCGGAAAGGTGCAAAAAACGACTACGAACCAGGGGAGGAGGAGCTAAGTTCGGACCCAGATGGGAAGGATCTACGGAGTGGCTGAGCTACATTAGTCACCCCAGTGCTGCTTCGCTCCTTAGACTGTAGTGGAAGACTTTTCCAGGCCGTTAGTAATGGAAGAAAATGTTTCTCACTCCGATCATAGCTTTGGTCCCTATGCGTCCTCCAAGGTTGCCCTACAGGGCTCCGTAGTCCGAAACCCTGTAGGGCGACTTCGCGATTGCCAGAGCGGGTAAATGTGACGAACCAGGGTTGGGCTTCTCAGACTCCGGGGTGCGGTACTATTCATCATACATGGTGAATAAATGTGTTGCGGTCGCAGTGTACATAGAGGGCCACGCGTACGAGACAGGGCCCGTCCTGCCCTTGAGAAGAAAATTTTGCATAATACGACACTCCCCACCCCTCCCCTCAAAATCCCCTCTACTTGTATGACTACCCTTCCCCATTCTTCATCCTACCTACTATCTACTCAAATTTCCCCAATTCAGCCAACTTCCTATAACTGTTCCGGAGTTTTTCCATGGGGGTTTCTCCCGAAATTACTCCACTTTTTCTACAAAAAACTGCTGATTCGAACGGGACTGAAGCGGTGTGGTATAAAATGCCCACTACTCGTTTCGAAACAGAAAAAAAACCGAGAAAAATCAGCAACCGGCAACCGAAAAACGTCTTCTCAAGGCGACTACATCCCCCTCTTCCTCTTGCTGCCGGACCTAAGACCAGAGTGCGCACATGAGGGCAGGAAAATGGCACGATCAAGGAGATCGAGTTAAAGTTACTCATAGATCGTGCTCCACTAAATGCCCACCTATATTGGACTAGCCGCCGAGTCTCCTTCTGTTGCGATTTTTCGGAATTCCCGGGAAATAGTGAGCTTTTTGATTTAGGGCTGGTCTCAAAAGGTGGACATTCGTATTGGCGATCTGCTGGCTTCGTCAAAAATACTGTCAAAGGGTGATTGTGTTCGGGCAAAGTTGGACAAGGCTATCGACGACATGTGTGCCCGAATCAGCGACGTCATCTCAAGCGGTTCCGTCGAGATCGCCCGAACGGAAGGTGGCCTAGAACTGCGATGATAATTACTACCAAAAATTCAGAAAGTTCTAATACCGTATTGTTTCGGTGAAACGTGAAGCGCCAAAAGCGTTGTGTTACTAACCTATGAGGCCTGAATAAATGTTTTGGCTATTCCTTTTCGTTTGTCGCTTTTACAGACTGATGGGGGTTGGCACGATGGAGGCGGGGCGCCAATGAACGGCTGGCGCGGATTTGTCAGGGCCATTAGATTGGCCTGTCATTATGCATATCCTCAAATATGTAGCTCCCGCTAGAAGCTGTAGAATCAGGCTTAAGCTCTTTAGTGGCAATTGGCGACAACAATTGGGGGAAGAGGTGAGGCAGACCAGGGGTTACCCCGGTTGTGGTGGGGCCATGGTTTCGGGCCATAGTCCAACCTTGGAGTCTTTTCTACGAGATCCCTTCACATTTCACTCTCCTGGTTGGTTCTCTTACAACATGAGCGAACCTAGAAATCAGAGCGTACTGAGCTCCCAGGTCCGGCCTTCACTTCCTTGACCCAGAAATAGCCCAGTTGACTCCGTTGAAGAGAAGAATGAGGGTTGAAAAACCTTCAGAAGAACCTTGGAGATTTTAGCCATTTTTTAAGCAGTGCCGAGTGAAATACCGTATTTAAATTAGCATATTCCCAACACACAGCAGCAATCAAAGTAGGATTATCATCCAACTAGACGCACACTCAGCCTTAGCGCGGCCCTCGGACCAAGAATTCAATTAAGCACTAATAATGCTACAGTAATCCGGCACTCGGCAAACAACCA